ATCAATCAGGGTCCAGTTGGGAGAATAAAAACCATTCTAGATATTTCAACAGAAAAGATTCAATAGAAGAAATTGGTCACCCAGGTGATGGAAGAATAGTTGAGCAGCTGTACTTCATTTAACAAAAATAAGTACCAGTCATGATACTACTAAAAATTTTATAAAACCAGCCCAGTGGAGAGATAAGTATTAGAATGATGGAGAATAGGGAGCTCTTTTCAGCCCTGGGACTAGGAAAAAAAAGCGAGCTGGCGTTCAGAGCTGAGGAAATAGGGATGGCTGGGGGAACAGGGTACCAGGGTAGTGACCAGAAATTGGGACAGTGGAGAACTTGGGAGATGGTACAGATCAGTCAGGGAGGGAAACACTCTAATTATACCTTTTGGGTTCCTTTCAGTCTTTTACCATCAATTCTCATTGTCCAAGACGATCTAATGCCCGAGGGTTTGATGCCTGGGTCCCAGAGTCCCTCCTTTACAATGAAACCCTAGTTTGCCTACATATAAAAGTGTAAGTAAAGCAATCATTCAGAACTTTTAAGATATTACCATTTTGGGGGGGTCTCTTTCTTTCAGAATTTTTAGACAATTATCATGTCTCCTGAAGCTAAAGTCCTATTTTTTATTGTTGATATTTTTTTAATCTTTTAAATATCAATTCAGAGATTTCCTAGATCATATCTTTGAGATTACTACTACAGTTATACCTATTCTGAAATTTATTTTTTCATAATTGCTTATTTTGTAAAAAATCATGTTTACTAAGGTGTAATGTACTCATTTTAAGCATACAGTTCAGGAGTTTTGGAAAATGTATACAACCAAAATGCTTTTCAGGTGAACTCATGTTGCAGCTTGTAGTTGTATCTTGTTCCTTTTTACTAGTGAGTCATATTCCATTCTATGGATATACCACCATTTGTTGATTCATTCACCTGTTACTGGACATTTGGGTTGTTTTCAGTTTTCAGACTATAATAAAGATGCTGTGAACACTCATGCCTTTGTGTGGACAAATGTTTTCATTATCGTGCGTAAATACCTAGAAGCAGAATGGCTAGTCATAAAAGTGAATGATAAACTTCATAACAAACTACCTAAATGTTTTTCGAAGTGGTTATACCATTTTTTATTCCCACTAGCAATGCACATTCCAGTTGCTCTAAGATCCTCACGAAGACTTGGCATTATCTGTTTTTAATTTTAGTCATTCTATTGGTATGTAGTGTTATCTAATTAGTTTTCATTCGAAATTTGCTGATATATAGTGATGATGAGTATCTTTCAAGCTACATAGAACTGATATTGCTACTGAATTAAATTCTGTGACAATGTACTTGACTACTCATTGCAAGCTAAGCACTATGCTACTGGAAAATCTCAGTTCAAGCCTTGGTTCTCTTTGAATTGTGAGAACTATCTTGACTCCCATTTTTCAGATAGCCCCACCAAAAATAACATTACGTGTGGTAGTCAATATAACTCCTCCCTGCAAGATGTCCATGCCTGAGTCCCCAGAATGTGTAGGTTATACAGCAAATGAGGAATTGAGGTCGCTCATTGGCTAATTTTAACATGGGGAGAGTATCTTGGATTACCCAGGTGGGCTCAATTTTTACAAGGATCTTTAAAAGTGGGAGAGGGGACACGGGAGGAAGTCAGAGGGATGCAACACGAGAAGGGCTCAGCCCAACGTTGCTCGCTTTACAGGTGGAGGAACAGGGTTGTGGGCCAAGGAAAGTGAGCAGGCTCTAGAAGCTAGAAAACATGGGGAAGCAGAGTCTCCCCCAGAGGCTCTAGAAAGGAAATGCGGCCCAGACCACACCTTGATGTTAACCCAGTGAGACTCATTTCAGTTGCCAAAATTTCAGAGCTGTAAGATAATTAATTTGTGTTGTTTTCAGCTCCTAGGTTTATGGCAATTTGTTATAATAACAGTAAAAAATTAACACATTAGGGGCATTATTTGCTGTAAGCATGACTGCCCACCGAACAATCATATGACAAACCACCTAAGGCTTTGTCCCAACCCTTTATACCTGTTCCCACATTGCTTTGGCCACTTCATTAACTCCACCGTTAAGATATGGGCCAAGACTCTAAACTCAGGGAGTCTGGTGTGTTGAATTTCTTGTTGTACCAGCACTGCTCCAGGAGGATGGCTTGATGCCCAGGCTAAGATTGCCCAGCATCAGCAGTAGTTTCAGTTACTCAGGCTTCCCCCAGCTTTCGGTAGTGAGTTTCCTGTTCCCTGCTTGCATTCCAGGAAAGAACAGAAACAAGATAGCAGGTGCACTGAGGTTTATGACCACACACTACTGACAGCCAAGTTTTTAAAACAAATTTTGCTTATAGTAAATTAGTTCAGTTTTGACTGAGAATAAAGCATTTGGAGGAAGATTCATGCAAGTCTTTCACCATGGGGATACAGTGCACACCATGGGAGTATACTCAGTTGTGGGCCAGTTTGTTAGGACTGCCATAGCAAAGTACCACTGGGTGGCTTAAACAATAGCAAGCTATTTTCTCACAGTTCTGGAGGTAAAGTCCATGATCAAGGTGTATTGGCTTCCTTTGAGGCCCCTCTCTTTGGCTTGTAAATGGTCATCTTGCTCTTATGTCTTCACAGGGCCTTCCCTTGGTCTATGTGTTCCCTATGCCCTGATCTCCTTATAAGGACACCAATCACACTGGCTGAGAGCCCATCCATATGACCTCATTTTACCTTATCTTTTTTAAAAATATTTTTTAAAATTTATTGATCTTTAGAGGGGAAGAGAAGGAGAGAGGGAGAGAAATATCAATGTATGGTTGCCTCTTGTGTGTCCCCTGCTGGGAACCAGCCTGCAACCCAGGCACGTGCCCTGACTGGGAATCAAACTGCGATTCTTCGGTTCGCAGGCCCGTGCTCAATCCACTGAGCTATACCAGCCAGGGCTTACCTTAATTATCTTATCTTTTTAAATGCACTATCTTCAAATACAGTCATAACCTTAAGCACTAGGGTTTAGAATTTCAACATATGAATTTTGGTGGCACAATTTCATCCTTATCAGAGAACATAAAACACTATTAAATAAGACTGTAGAAAATGTTTAGGAAAGTGAAAATGGAAGTATTTAACTCCAGATTCAATATTTGTGCATAAGAAAAAATTAAGTGGAGTTCAAATAATGATAGTTCTGCAGTGAAGATCTATCTGTTCAGATTTTTATAATTAGTTATATAAGGAAATAAGCAAACTGGAATTTACATTAAGCTCTAACAATTATAAAATGAAGTAAGCACTGGTATAAAAATAGTAAGCACCATGCTTTAAAATGCATCAATATTTATAAATGTTTGCAGTAACAATCATAGTAACATAAATGGTAAAGTATTAAAATAATTACCTAGAAATTATTTCTTGAGGTCAAGGACAATTATAAAAAGACACACTAATCAACCCAGCAAAAACTGGAAGAAGTAATGCAAAGCTCAAAACCACCTCTGGAGAGAAATGTGGAAATTCATGGTTCGCTGTAATGATAAAAGGATGAGAAATCTTGTAGTGACAATCCTTTAAAGATGAATATTTTCATAATTAGACTAGGAGCAATTTGACCTAATAGCATGAGGAAGAAGTAGTAACACTTTTTTAAAACTATGGAATATATAGTTTCTTAGTAAACCCCAGTTGGAGTTGACTGATGGACATTCCCCCCACCCTGTTGCTCTGTTCCCACCAGCAAAAGACCAACCCAAACATAAAAATTAGGAATCTCCAAGCATCTATAGTATTCACAGAAAACAAATCAGGAGAGAAGGGCAAGAGACACAATTCAATACCCAATAAATTGTTTCATCCCTTGAAGATACTTTAATTTTACAGTTACTGATTAATTAAAAAACACAGTTGTTTTCAGCATTTCCTAGCTACAGTGGTGCATAGGAAATTCCATTCTAAACAAAGAAGTAATTAGTGAAATAACAATACACCTTAACATTTTACATTGATAGGTTACAGGTTACAAGGTGCTTTCACATACATTATTTCATTTGAATCTTATAACAAGCAGAAAACACAATCAGTGGGAAAGAAAAATGATTCTTTTTCAAGCTTACAATGAGTATTTTCAGGCCAATGGGCAGTCAGTACAAGAACATATCAAAAACATGAGAGCAACACCCACAAGCCACAATATCTTTTTTTTGGTAGGTTGACAGTTTGATATTAACTGGATATTGAGCATCTGTGAAAGAGGAGGGAATCTGAACAGACATGAGCTTTTTTTCATGATATTCAACGAATTTTATGAACACTGGAAGAAAGAAGAGAGATGCTCTAAAAGATCATCTTGACAAAATTTACTTCAACCATGTTACCCCTTCAGAATCTTATAAAAAAGAATCTCATCACAACACGTGCAAGTTAGAAGGGGCCTTAGAAACTGCCCAACGGAACTCTTCCATTTTACAGCTAAGAGACCTGCAGCCGAGGTCACGCAGGTGGTGACGGGCCAGGCCTGAAACTACCTGCCTGTCCTGTCCTTGACTTTCAGTCTAGGGCTCCTTCCTCTACACTGCCATCTTCGTATTTACCAAATAAAAACACAATTTCTTCTGTTTCAAATAACGTAATTGGAGGTTAAATACTGATTCATGCCACTTATTTCTTATTTAAGTTTTTACATTGTTCTTGGCTAAATTGTGGCAGAAACTGAGAACTTTGTACAATTTTAAGATATTCTAATTCAGTGTACGTGATTGGCTGGAAATAGACTCCCTCGATATATTTAAAAGCTTGCTCATGTCCTTTAAATAGAGAGTAAAATGCAATGGCTAAATAGCCCTCAAAACCAATGTATTGCGTACGCGTCATCTACCCAGATAGATTCTACAGCAAGTCGTGCTGCACAGTAGCAATTTCATTAAAAAAAATATTTTTAGAATTCATAGAAATCTTTTTAATTACCAAAAACTAAAATGTAATAATCAAATTGTCATCCCCATGATTTATTAAAATAATTTTACAGTAATATACAACAAAGCTCCCATAGAATTTGTAGCATACATATAGAATACAATGATCAGCGTGTTCTTGGGTCTAAATGAAATACAAAAAAAACCTAATTAAAATATTTTATACAAACGATATAAGTTTATGAACATGATGATATATTTTTGTTACATCAAAACTTGCTACAGCAAAGTAGTTCATTTTTTTTTGCACATTTTAAATATAGGTGGACCAAAAGCTGAAATCAGTACCAGCTTATAAATGACATAACCATGCAGAAACACTTGACAACCAAAAGATGTACCAATCGATCCAGAGAACATCTCAGACAGGCTTTTTCAGTGTCTCCAAAGGATTTACAAGGGTGTGGTGGAGATGAAAGGAAGTAGGGTCGGTGCTCTGCCCGCACCGGTAATGAAGCAGATGAAATGCTTGCATACATTAAGATCAGTGTGATTAAAAACTACACCTCATATGCATGTAAATGGATCATAAAAAATGAGCCAGTTTATTTTCAACTATTTTGGTGGGTTCTTTTAAGATAGGTCACTGACTCACAGAGAAAAAACCAGATGGGAAGATTTAAAAGCAAAGATAAAAATATTTTAAAAAACTGAGTTAAGCTATGGATTCTCAACAAACACTAAACTAAGTGTGCAAAAGTGCCTGAAATTTCTACGTGACCGTAATGTTATTAAGTCAGTTGGCAAAAGAATACATAAAAAAACTAAGCTCCAATGATCACACATTCTGCACATTCTGTTTACTGAGAGAAAAGAGGCTGGAAATTGTTATGTATCTGAAAATACCACACCTCAAATGAAAACGCAATTGTGGCAGTTGTATCAAGTTTGTCCCTTTCCTCACCGTGCGGCACAGGATAACAGCTGGAGTCTCACCGGAGCCCCACCGGAGCCCCCACCTCAGCCAGACACACAGTGTAGTGCACTGGAATGATAACCTGGCCAGGACTTCCTTTGCTCTGAACTCTGACAAAACATAACAGAGCAAAAACAAACGAACACCCTCATTTAAATAAGGGCCTGTCTGAACTGTTCACAAGCATTAAGCCATTTGTTTGATTTAACAAAGTATTTGTCCACATTAATGTTCTTTTTTAGTTTCTTTCCCTTTAAAAAGTTTACAATGAGGACTTATTTGGGAAACTTAAAATTTTGTCACTTCATTAGTCATGTTTTATTAAAATACTGGCTAAAACCCTTATGGAAGAGTCAAGATTTAGAAATCTGAGAACTCTTCGCTAATACCTACAGAAATGCGGACACCAGGGGACAGTCTAGGTGATCACAACCCACACCATTGGTTTTTCCTGTGAATGAGACACGCTTGTCACAATGTACAGGCGGGTCACTTAATTACTTGAGGGGAGGAGGATATAAAAAGAAGTGAGGGAAATAGAACTTTTGATCTATAGGAATCTACGTTGTTGTGTCTAGCTACTTCATATTAGTCCATCCACATTTAATGCCAGAACAGTGAATTTTGAGAGTTATTTTTTAATTTGTATACATTTCCATGACAATAAAACATTCTATCTTCAAAAACTGTCAAGAGTTCTGGCAAAACTGAGTCTGAACTACTCAAAGTAAAAACTACGATCAGAAAGTATATCTTTGAGCCATGGACCAACACAAATATTGGCAAGAACTACTAGAAGGAACACTATCCTTCCCTTCAAATATCACGCAGCCACAACACTGCCCTTTTCAAACACCAACAAAATAAAATGAAGCACTGTTTGGAGAGAGACTAATGAATGAAAAAGGAAGAAAAAGGATGCAGGTGCGGAGGAGAAAGGCGAACCAAAGAGAAGCAGGAGAGTGCCTAGTTCTGTGTGATGGCACAGACGATGGCCGCTTAGCGGTGCCTTGTGACACAGGAGGACGCAGAGTGCACACAGAGGATGGCAGTCAAGGCCTCACTCAGTCGCTGTGATGAAGGAACTAGGTAACTGCTTCAACAAGGACTGTCTCAGCTCCACCCTCTCTCTCAACAGAGTGCAAAGACTGAGAGTGAGTTCTGATGTCATCTTGTTGCTCATATTTAAAACTCGCAAAATTCTTTTGCACATTTTTCTGTTATAGAGACACGGATATCTTCTTCTTCATAGTCATCAAAGTTGCTGGTATCTCCAGAACCTCTGAACTTTGGTATGAATGGAGCTTCAACCTGTAATTGAGACAGAAAAATAAGTGAGATTGTGATTTCTAATAAGAAATGTAATTGGTCTTCATCCTGGTTTTGTAGCACAGAGTTCCTAAAACCCTTGGAATTTCCTAAATACAGAGAGTGGTGAAGATGCCTTTTGTTGTGCTAATGAGGCAACTTTCGGAAAAGCCCTGGGCAACCTAAGGGTGGGGGCTGGTTGCCAGGGAAACCAGTCACGTGATTAGAGGACTGGAACCTTCAGACCCCCTGGGAAGGAGAGAGGCTGAAGATTGAGTTCAGTGACCCAAGCCAATGATTTAATCACTCACGCTTATGGAATGAAGCCTGCCTAAACCCCCCAAAGGATGGGGTTGGAGAGCTTCTGGGTTGTTGAGCAGGTGGGGATTTGGGAAGAGTGCCATGCTCTGGGAGAGCGGGAAGCTCTGAACCCTTCCCCCATTTTTTGCCTTATGTACCTTTTCCACCTGGCTGTTTCTACTTATATCCTTTTACCATAAACTAGTAATGCAGTAAGGAAAATTTCTCAGTTCTGTGACCGGCTCTAGCAAATTAATCCAACCCCAAGAGGGGTTTGTGAGAACCCGCAATCTACAAGTAGTTAGTCGGAAGCAATGGTGCAGAAATGGACTTGAGACTGGTGTCTGGAGTGACTGGGGAGCAGGGAGCCTTGCAGTGCTGAGCTCTCACCTGCGGGATCTGATGCTACCTCCAGGCTGACTAAGAATCGAGTTAAATGCTTGGTGGTATAGAAAAAACCCATACACATTAGAATAAGAGGAGAGACAAATGTCTGAGAGTTTTTAAACACTAAGGAAAATAAGTTCCCATTTGATACACAATGGTGTCTTTAAATGTCTGTAAGTCCCTAAGTGGGAATAACAGCATTAGAAAAAGCAGCAAAAAGTAGTTCTGCTCTTAATCTCACCATTTTCATTCAATGAATAGTACAGGCCAACAGAATATTTTTAGAGATTTGTAAGATCATTAACTGTTGGCATCAATGCTCACACCGAATGTTACAGAGCTCCAGTCTTTTATCAGTTCCTTATTTCTAAAGCCCTTGCTTTCCCATCCTCTTTTCCTTAATTTCTTTCTCCTGTGGTTACAGTTTAACTCTTAGATTTACTTTTAATCTCCCTCCTTTTTAATTTTCCAAGTTAATTTTTTTTTAAAACATCTGGCTATCAAACCTTTCTGAAAGTTGAAAAAACCCAAATTTCTGTTAAACTTACAGAATTGTTAAATTCTGATCATTTCTCTTCTTGGATCCTAAAACTAAGATCTTTCTATTATTTAAAATATGGTCTTTATAAAATTTATGTGGTGTATTGAATATGTTTGAGGAAAAGATTTTAAATGTTGAACATATACTACAACTTACACAGCATTTATAGTGTTTACATACATATGGCTATTTCGTACCTATGAAGAATCATACATATGGCTATTTCTTCTCCTCCTCAATACAGCACTGTGAGAGAGGCAGGGCAGGTGTCTTAATGCCACTCTACAGATTACCAAACAGAAAGCTGACTAAACTAACATGACTGACAAATGGCTAAAGTAGGTCTCCCATTCATGATTCTCTACTAGTGGCCCAGAGTCCTTTCTAATAATATCTATACACATGGTCTCCAAAGTATTTTGATTTATATAATTTTTAATAAAACAGAGTATATGCCACCAATATATGTATAGTATTTATTTATAAGTCATTTATATGCATGACTATAATATTATAAGGCAGACATAAAACAAGATATTTAAAAAGAAGAAGGTAAAAAACAAGGACTGCAGAGCCTCTTGTTTGTCAGCTGCTGACTTGCACGTGCTGCTGTGGGGAATGGACCGCTGTCTGCACCACGCATAAGAATGAGCTAAGGAGACAGTCGCCTCACATCTAGTCATGAGGCAATTTAGCACTGAGCCTACTGGTACAATCAATTGTAGAAAATGACTGCACGGTTTGAATTTTAGGCCACTTTCTTGTTTCCTGTCTTTCTGCATAGTTACAGTTGAGGCTATGTTAGAGTACTGAAAAACAAGTGGCTATGTTACAGTACTGAATCATTTCTATTTTTAAATTATCCTGGGATCCCCAAGTCCATTTCTACTGATAATCAAGATCTGCTGTCGATCAATTTGCCCAGTACTATAACCTGTTTGCTACTTTTTGGCAGATAAGCCCTTTACTAACCCGGGACAAAGTTGAGTCCTTTGAAAAACATATGAACTCTAAATGAATGGTTCTGTATCATTTTAAGAATTGTTAAAAAGACAATAATGATGGGCATTGATTAGTAAATTTTTTGCCAAGTAACAGCGGAAATTTTTACATCTAAATATAAATATGAATAGATTCAAAACATGCCATAAATCTTTAAAATAATAATAAAATGGACAAACCTTAAGCAAACCTATTAAGTACCTCTATAGGTAGTGTTAACAATAAATATAATAATAAAAATAATGTAAACAATGATAATTACAAAGGGATATAATTAATTTTATAGAAAAATATACATTTCTAAAATGGACTCAAGAAGAGGCAGAAACTCAAGGAGACCAATATCCAAAGAATTAGTAAAAACTTCTGAGGAATAAATAAAGATGATCTCTATGTTCCTTAAATTTCCTAAAGAATAAAAAAACATGCAAAATTCCCAAACTCATTTTATGAATCCACATAATCTCAACTCCAGAAAAATAAAATTTACAGATCAATAAAACTGATGATTGTGGAAGTAAAAATCCTAATTTAAATGTTAGTAAATTGATTATGGGCAGACTTTAAAATACCCCATCATTAAATGGTGTTCACTGCAGGAATGTAAAACTGTCTCACCCATAGTAATATGTCAAAGATATAATACAGTATACTGGGTAGCAATCAAGGGTATTTCTCAACCAGGAATACTTATACAGGACAAAGAGCTAACTTCATATTTGAGGGTAAGACAGGAAAAGGATTCACATTGCAAAGAAGAGTAAGACAAGAAGCTCAACAGCGCTACTGTTTTTAAAATGTTACTCTATACATCCTAGCACGTATGGTAAAACAAAATGGAAATACAGATATAAATATTGAAAAAGAAAAGGCAAATGATACCTCCACCCCCTGTGATTATCTGTCAATAATGTTTAAGGGAATCACGAAAAAGCTATGGAAATCAGTAACAGAGATTAGTAAGGGGGAGGTAATAATGAAACATGGAAATGTTTTTACCTCCTGTGTTCTGTCATAATGAGAAAGAGACCATTCAGGACGGCAGCCAATACAAAAATAACTTTAAGAAAGAAACTGGACTTGAATTGGGGAGGGGTCTCTAAAACTTTACTGAATGGGAGAAAATATTTGGATAAAGGCAGAAACATAACATGTTCAGTATAAAGAACTCTCAAGATTTTGGTTCTCTTCTAATTAATGTCCCGTGATCCCAATTAAGAGTCCCAAATACCATATACATGTTTGAAGAGACCAACGAAACAGAGGAGCTCGTGTTTCATGGGGACAGTTTCAGTTTCACGGGACGAAGGGCTCTGGAGACGTGGTGACGGCTGCACAAGGACAGGACTGTGCTTAGTGGCACCGACCTGCACACTCGCAAATGGTTAAGACCGTCAATTTTATGTTGTGTGCACTGTGCTATAATGAAAGGGCTGGAAAATATGGAATTATGGATTCTTTTCCATGGCCCACAGGCTGGGGACCCCTGGTGTATGGCACAAGAATAGACAAAAAGAAAGTTCTGAAACAGACTGAAGTATGTAATAATTTTCTATTAGTAAACATGGAAGTTCAAATATGGGGTCAAATAAGGATTATTCAACAAATGCTGAGAGGGTAACTGGCAAGTTATTAAAGAATGACAAAAAAAGATAGATCAAAAGCACTAAAGAAAAATGTAGATTAAATAAGTCACCCAGATAGCACTGTGCTATTAACAATCCGAAGTTGAGGGCAAGAGCGGGGCTGAGGAAGGGGATCCTCGGTGGTTACTGACGTCATGTAGTGACTCAGAGCACAGCGGTGCTGTCTGGATCGAGGGATTATGAGTTTCAAATTCATTTTCTTAACAAATTATTTGTTTACAACTATATGAAACATACCTTACCCAGAAAGAAAAATAGAGTCTGGACTTATCCATCCGGTCTTTCTCCCAAGACTACTCTTCCTTTTGCATTCTCTACCTCAATCCAAATTTTCAGGATGAGAGAATGGATGCTTTCAAGAGCATAAACATTTGCTCAAGACCCAACGCTAACGGCCGGTTGACTCAAGGTTCGGACCAATGTCTACCTAACTGCAGAGTTCACGGTTTTTCTTTTGCTGCCTTTGAGGCAGTCTTCCTACTCCCAATACGACGAAGGCATAGAAGTTAAGCAGATGATATGTAAAATCTATTAAAAAAATCTTCTAAAGAAGTGTATTGTTCAGTGGTTTGGGCCTTCATGTTAACAGCCGTATGATCCTGGGATCCTGAGAATCGTATTTGATGCTGAAGAACCTGGGGCCGAATACAGGGGATGTTGGCAACTATCCCATTAAGTTTAAAGTAGTTAATTTTTCTGGGCTAATTTTTTTTAATTAGTAAAATGGTGGAAATGGTAGCACCTATTCCACAGGATTACTTCAAAGATTAAGATGAGAACTTACAGAGTTGCTTTTAATAAATTATAAAGTACTTCACTGGTTCTAGGAAATAAACTAATATAATATTTTATGCCATCCACACTTTGGAGTAATAAATAAATAAATAGAATAGGTGAATCTGAAGTGTCTGTTTATAAGACCTAAAAATCTACTTTAAATTGCCGAGAACCTTGCTCTTAGAGACATAACACATCCAGCTGAGGCAGGATGCTAACAGCTGTCCCGTGACTTTCGCGGCTGTTCTCAGCCTCCTTAGGAGATACAGATGCGGTTCCACACTCTCACTGTTCTGGTTTTGCTATAGTTTTTATTTCCTGCACTTCAGAATTCTTGTACTGCTTTGATTTAGTAATCTTTTATAAAAGATACAAATAAGCCCTGGCTGGTGTAGCTCAGTGGATCGAGTGTGGGCCTGAGAAACAAAGGATCGTGGTTCGATTCCCAGTCAGGGCACATGCCTGGCTTGCAGGCCAGTTCCCAGCAGGGGACGCATGAGAGGCAACCACACATTGATGTTTCTCTCCCACTTTTTCTCCTTCCCTTTCCCACTCTCTAAAAAATAAATAAATAAAATATTTTTAAAAAAAGATACAGATAAGAAGAACTGTGCTGTTAATACTTAATTAGAGCACTTACATTTTTCCTAAGGAGATTCACTCATGTGACTGCACAGCATTATTAAATGTGGCAAGTCTAAAGCATTAGAAATTTTGGTTTTATGAAAAAAATTAAATATGTTGAAGATAAAAACACTTTATTCATACAAATTATCTTTGAGTCAGGAACAAAAGGAGAGATAAAGTTAATTCAGCAAAGCAAAACCTTTTATTAAATGTCTCAATGTATTACAAAGGTACTGATAAAAACTGAATAATAACTGATGAATCTAGCAATTAAATGTTATTAAATTTGGCTATGTGCCAATGCAGGGTTACAGACTATATTTGTTTACATATGGTCTTTCTAGGGTGGCTTCACATCAGTTTGGAAATGCAAACCCGTAGGATATTGTCTAATACAAGGAGAAAACTCATTGTTAAGTTGTGGGATATAAAGGTCCTTTAAGACTTGAATAGGATTCATGAAAAAGGTCAAAAAAATTAAACTCACTATTAAGTTGAAAATACTTCTACTTACATAATTTAAATGCCAACTTTAAAAAAGCTTTTAAAGTAAAGAAAGGAAAGGCTCACCTTCCTCTGGTAAATGGCAATCCAATCAGTCGTGGCAAACCACTTGTGAGTTTTTATATCACTCACACCATTCTTTAGATTTCCAAACCGCTTCGTCAGGTCCACCTGCAGAAGGTTCCTGAGAAGGTCCTTGAGATCTGAGCTGAAGTGCGATGGGAATCGGACCTGTGCAAACACACCATGTGATAAGCCACACATTCCAAGACTCGTGACATTTCTCTTTTGGTTTCAGAAAGTTTTTTCTCTCTAAAGATGATAAGTCATTATATAAACAAAAATATGCAGTGATAACCTTCAAATACTTTTAACTACACATGCCAGTCCCCACAGCAGGCTTAGAGAAGAGAATTTGGGTGAATGAGACTATTCTCTTAGGGTCTTGTTTTGGTCAGGAGCCCTCTTTAAGAACAGAGGCCCCTCTCCAGAAAAAGGGGTGTAACATACAAAACTTTTCCAGCAACATCAGAAGGTTCATCCATCTTTAAGAGAGACCCCTTAGGTCCCACATTACAAATTATCTCTTAGAAATATACAAATTTAAACTTGTTATCTAAATAGAAAACACAGAATGTAAAGATATCAGTAAGCACATTTTGAGAAGGGAAGTCTAAAAATGATTATAAAATCCCACACTGCTTTTCACAGCATAGGAAACCATTTTTTCATGTATTTGTTGGTGACTTTAAAGCATAATTTTGCTATTATGCGAAAGTATAAAAATGATTTAGGTTGGTTTAAAAGCATTTTACACTTCCTAAATTATGAAGACTTTACAATTAATTGACTGGCCTTGAGCCTTAAAACCAAAAAAACAAAACTCAAAATAACTAAAGATGTTATTATGTATTAAGCAATCAATAAAATAAAGTATTAGGCACAGGAGACCTAAGTCTATTTTTTGTTTTGTTTTAACATATTCTTCTCCTCTAACTCTCTACTCCAACATAATTCCCAGTTCTCACCTTTTTGCTAATATGGGTACTGAAGAGTTCAAATGGGTACTACCACCATTCCACTATCCTTTCTAACTCGTTGCCCTCTTCCCCATCACACATGAAGGTATGTACGTACACATATCTTTGTATGTACATGTGTGCTCACGTGCACCTTTATTCTAATCCCCTTTTCCTATTACGTACACCTTGGACCCATTTCATATTTCCACCCTCACTAAACACAAACACTATTCTCTGGATTATTATAGCATTGTCTTCAAACTGACCACAGGCCTCTGTAGAAAATGCTTTAAAGGGTTAACAGATTCATTCCTGAACTTCTCCCACTTTTACTTTGATTCTGTACAAGTACCACCATCATCTTGTAACTTGCAAAGTGACGCACTACGTTACCTCGGCTGATTTCCACAATGCATTCGTTCACTTGAATGTGCTGTGATGTTTGTGCATGTCTGTCTTCCCTAGACTACGAGATTCTGGGGGGGAAGAAACTGTGCCATTTTTGTGTTTTTGTTCCCAAAATTCATTAGATCATTTCAAATAATGTAGTTCATTGATTCTACAGTCACTTATTTAGTATCTACTATGTACCAGGCACTGTTCTAGCTGCCGGATAGACAACAGTGAGCAAAAACAGAGCCTCTGACTTTACAGAGGTTATGTCCTAGGTAGATATGACATAGTCAGTGGATTTGGTATTCACTCTAAAGATGGAGAAACTAAGATTCAGACATTATAAAACTTACCAAATCATTACACTATAAAGTGGCAGAGCTGGGATTAGATAGCAAGTCTTATGATTCCTCGCCTCAAAAATTTTGCTCTTTATTATACTGTCTTCAAACATATAGAACTCTGATTTTCAAAAATACCAGCATACTTGTATATTCTCATGTTTTCAAGGTAGAAGTCATGAGCTTGTAAAGGTAGATTCTATGACAATGCTAGATTCATAACCACAGTCCTCTGACTGCCAATCTCATGCTACTGTGCAGATAAATGTTTCTCAAAGTGTGGTCCTAGGACCCACTTCCATTAAAAGCAACTGGGAGGCTTGGCTGGTGTAGCTCAGTGGATTGAGCCTAGGGTTAGAACCAAAGGGTCGCCAGTTTGACTCCCAGTTAGGACACACATCTGGGCTGTGGGCCAGGTTCCCACTGCGGGCATGTGCGAGGCAAACACACACTGATGTTTCTCTCCCTCTCTTTCTCCCTCCCTTCCCTTTCTCTAAAAATAAATAAATAAAATCTTTTAAAAATAAATAAAAAATAAAATCAACTGGGAGAGTAGAGGATAAAAATGCAGATTCCTGGAACTTAGTTTAGATTATGGGGCTCTGGGCCCAAACATCGGAGTTTCTATCTCCAAGTGACTCACATGAAAGCTTGAAGAGCACTGTTTGCAACTCTATTTACTTCTTTAGGAAGAAAATTTGTTTTTCTGCTAGTGATGGATAAAAAATGTAATGCAAATAATAAACTAAAATGATCACCAGAGGGAAACTAAAAAGTGTTTGTGGCAAGTCACCAAAGACTATTTGAAGGTTAAATAACTAGTATATGACCAGGATTTGGGTGTCAACTCATATAAATTAGCACCAAAAGCTTCATTTTTGAAAAGCCTGTATTATCACAGACTATAAGAGGTTTTTGTTTCCAAAGGACACAATGTCTTATTAGAAGTTAGGCACTGTGTTGAACAGTTTATATTCACTGGCTCATAACATCAAAAACATAACACTGAGGTAAGTACTATTATTACTCCCATTTTAAAGGTGATTACAAGTAATCTGCCCAATACTACAGAGCTAACCATTGGTAAACCTGTAATTTCATACCAGGTACTTTGAGTCCAGCATGTACACTTTTAATTAGTTTATACTACTTCCATGTTTTAATAACCTGATGATGACTATTGTCAGGTACTTCATAAGAAGCTGAAATTTTCATCTTAAAAATATTTGCTATACATTTCTTCATTCATCCTAGTTGGAATAAAAACTAGAGCATATGGGGTGTTCACTGTCTACTTGAAAAGTAACACCATTTATCTATAGATAGTGGTTATATTCTTTAAGTTCCAAAGAAATAACTTATTTGAAGTAGACCTCTTTTGGTTTAGAATAGTTCTCACGAACTGCTCAATGCAATGTGTTATTCTCTCCTTCGTGGTGTTTGGAATGATGGACAGACACAAACTACATATAAACTATCTTCTGAATATCTTCTGAATACAGGTCATGTGCACTGCAATGCATGAAGAATATACACACCGAAATGAAGTTGTTCTTTTGGAATGCAGATAAAGTGATGGGGGTGAATTAGTTAACGTGTGTGTATCTGTCTAATCTTCAGAACAATGACTCTCAGATGGGGCGTGGTCGTGGGGGGAGGTGATGGTAGACAGCAGACTCGTTTAGGGACCTTTTCAAATTGTAGACACAACCTCCTCACCGCCACATCACACCCTCTCCTTCCCCAGTGACTCAGACAGGGGCCCACTCTCACAGTAACCCATGTTAAGGAGGGTGATCTGTCGTGGGGTTAAAGGAGACTGAGGGAGAAATAATGCGAACCATTGTGAAAGACCTTTTCCCATGATTGTTCTGAAATGTAATCAGAAACTCAGTTTCTCTGTTGACCGAACTTTCTGCAGAACCGTGCTGATTCGTCAAATTGAAATTAGGAAGAAAAAAACCCCAAAACAAAAAGCAAAACAGAAAATAGCTTACAATTATGTTTTAATTGCAAGACCTTTATTTTTAGAGTAGGGTGGGACAAAAGTAGGTTTACAGTTTGTATGGAAAATATAATAATAAATAATACTACAAGGATAAACTGGTTTCTGTACTCGCAACTGTAAACCTACCTTGGCCACACCCTGTATATTAATCTGGGAACACCAAAGATTTTTTATAAGGAAAAGAATGACTGACTTTTCCCTCAAAACTGTATCAAAGATGGTATTATTTCTATCACCAGTTATCAATTATAACTTCTGCAGAAAGTGATATCAGAATCTTAGAATATTGAAGCTAGAGGGAGGTTAGTTTAATTTAGTCTAAACCTTCATTTTAAAGATAAGGAACCTGAAATCCAGTGAAACTACTAACTCAGTCAGTTTCACTGTTGGGAAAACAACTTAAATCTGATGCTTTTATTTTTCTGCCCATTCATGCTAGGACAAATAATATGGAGGCAGCTGTAAAAGAGCCAGATACAGAGAAGAGACTGTCTAGACCCATTTGACCACCAAATCTAAGAGATAAGACTATTGGAAACTGGAATTATTTAACATGAAAGAGGTGCTTGTGCAATACACACTTTCTAGAGTGTTTATTTGATCCTTTTTCCTTAATATTTCTTATTTTCGGTTCCCCCCCCCCCGCCAGCCTTTAGTTACCAAGTTACTTCTGAGTCTCCTCGTGGTATATTCTTTAGAATAAATCTATTTCTCCAGTGAGATATAGATAAGCAAAACACATGGTGTGTACCAAAATTATCTGTGATCATTTAGAAAAATACAGATGTCTGTAATACACACAAGACCAAACGAATCATTATCCCTGACTGTGGGCATCGTTCGTTATGAAAGCTTCTTGAAGCAGACAGACCACACTGATTTGCTGTATTTAGCATGGGCACGGCATATTTTGTGAGCTCAAGGAACACTTAATGAATGCAGATATTCAAATCTGACAAATCCTGAATGAGCATCTTCAGTGTGCCAGGCACTGATGTGCTTTGTATATAGTGGTACACAAAATAAGACAAAGATTCCTGTCTTCACAGGGTGTATGTTCTAGTGAGGATGACAGATGATAACTTAGTGATGAGAGCGATGCTGTAACAATTGTCCTGCTTGCACTCCTCAGAAAACCTTGCATTGTAAGGTCATTGTTTTATACTCTGAAGAGAATGGAGAACCACTTCAAGGTACTCAAGGAGTAGCAGGATCTGATTTATCATTTTAAAGACCTACTCTAGTGATTCAGGAGACAGCAGTACCAGGGGAGGGGGTAAGAAGTGGCTGAATTCTGCGTATCTTCTCAAGACAGAGCCCAAGTGGTTTCCTGTGTACCAGTAAGGACTCCAGGGTGCTTGGCCTGAGTAACTGAAGCGATGGGGTTGTCATCAGCTAAAATGGGAAGAAAGCTGGTGGGAGGAGTGCCTTTGCTAGGGAAAACAAAAATCTGCCAGTCTTAGGTCG